CATCTCAAATTGCTTAATAAAAATAATCCTATCTACCTATTCAATTACCTTAACCAATCTATATTAAATTGTTAATGGTACGATAGTCGAAAGCCCCCCTTCATTCTCCCTCCTTGCACAGAGGTTCACCGACAGCCAGGGCACCGGATAGAAAACCATTGCCGTGCGGATAGTAGACTATTGCCGTGCGGATAGTAAACCATTTGCCGTCCGGAAGCCGTGCGGGTAGTAGACTATGGCCGTGCCGCATGGTAAATCATTACCGTGCAGATAGTAAACCATTGCCGTCCGGATAGTAAACCATTGCCGGTACACCACTGGCCACCAAGGCTTACCTCTGACAACAGACTTCGAAATTCAGAGTCTATCGGCTATCGTGCCCTCAACTTACCTATTCATTACAATTAAGCCCTAGCTTACCTAAAATTACAAAACTCAAGAGCCCAATTCATTGGCCTTTCGGCACCCACCCCACCACCTACGTAATGCCTTGGGCTCCAACTTAGTAATAATAATATAAAACTTAAACCCTAAATCTATTAATGAGTATGTGTTACAACGTAGCCTTAACCTACCTATTCATTACATTACGGCCATAGCTTACCTAAAATTACAAAACTCAAGAGCCCAATTCATTGGCCTTTCGGCACCCACCCCACCACCTACGTAATGCCTTGGGCTCCAACCTCATAATAATAATGTAAAACTTAGAATTAATCTACCTATCAATACACTTAGAGCGTTTTAATTTACATTACAAGATTGTTCCTAGAATTACATTATTGCCCTTAACTACCTATAAAATTAAATTACTCTTAACCTTAGTAATAATAGATTAGAATGTGCAATGAAAATAAAATTACGCTCAAATACTAACATATGTGTTTATGTATGCAATTGTGTGTGTGTGTGTGTGTGTGTATACGCCGATGCGTGTAATGTGGGTGCAGGAAAAAATAGAAGCGATAAACTAACGCGCCTACCTATTCAACTACATTAGTCTTGG